TATTTATTATATATTTATCTTTTGGTGTGTGTGCTAAAGTTCATCTGCAACCTTGTGTTCTCTTATCAGTCTCTTTTTTGTCTAAGTGCAGATTCATTCTCAATACATTATTAATAATAACCAAAACAAACATTTTAGATATCATCTGGGAACATTGTACGAAAAAGCACCGACTTGTTTCCTGTTTCTTAAGAATGTTTAGTGCACTCTACTCCTTCATAGATTTAAGCCTCTGACTGGTCTCAACTTCACAACATGTCAAACTGCTCTGACGTGCTCTAGAGGGATTTCAGGAGGTTTAATTCGTACACATACATACATAGTCTTTTGTATAAGGTGGTCCTGAACGGATAACATTCTAGAGGTTTCCTACCACATTTATGCTGTAGTTTCGGATGTGTTTGAGGATCAGAGAGGAGATCAGTGCAGTGCTCCACTGGACCGCTGGGTCATCTGGAAGCTCTCTGCAAGAACAAAAGGAGAGGACGGAAAAACATAAAAGCATTATATGGAGATTTCACACACTTTTATTACAGAGAAAAAGAAAGAAACTGAGACATGTGAGCAACTAGATTTTTTACAATTTTGTGTTCACTTATGGCCATCATTTCTGTTTCTACTGTAAAGTAAAAAACTAAAAATTGTGCAATGAAGTGAAAAATTTATTTACATTTGCAAATCGTTAGCTGCAATTGTGAGATATGAAGTGACTGCAAAAAAAATCAAGTCACATTGGGACAAAGTCTCAATTACCATATTTTTTGTGAGAAACAGGCTCTCTCTATCAATGTCCATCAATTTTATCATCTGGGTGGAAATTGTAAGTCACAGTGCTTAGAAAATGCCACATCATTTGAAGTATCATCCATGTCTGCACAAATGGTGCAGGACAAATTACACACCAAAGTTTAATCCTAAGGGTTACAGGGTTGCTTACCATAAATTCACCATAATTCCCCACCACAAGTATGAGAAATGCTAAAAGTGACTTTTGACTTAACAAGCACAACTAATGAGTAGCATTATATACAATATTAAGGACAAATAATGGAAGAGGGTTGTATAGGTACTGCGCTGTCCATGTTCTTTGTGTAAGTTTGATTTGGACTGAGCAAAAAGCATTTATGTGCCAACACGCACACACATTTGCAACAAAACAGCAAGGTCCTGGAAGGGCCGCGAGAGTCCCTCTATCTGATTTACTGCCACAATCTCACTACCGCTCAGCTGGAATGCATCCCACAGTCCTCTCTGAAGTCTGGGATCAAAGGTCACCCAGGCTTTTCTCTCTCATTCATCTGTAACTACAGCTCAGGGAAAACAAGGGCCATGCATCAATCTCTCTCTTTCTTTTTTTCTCTTTCTCACACACACAACGTTCACTTGAACACCCCATATAGCTGCTGTGTAATGGATTCTGACTGGCAGGAGGGCAAACAAAACCGCTGGAGGACTCTGTATCTACACTGATTCAGTGGTCAGATATTGGATATGGCAGGGCAAAGTGGACTGTGATTGGCTGAAAGTTTTGGGTTGACCTCGCAAACCATTTGGCACTGAATGTGTTAAAGACAGCCGTCAGCAAAATCCCAGCTCAAGGTCACGAGGTAAGATGAGAAGGGGGGGAGTGAAAGTCAGACTGAGGCAGAGACAGATAAAAAGATA